GGAAAGTTACAGATTTTCACTTAATAAAGTGAAAACCACTTTATTAAGATGGCAGTTATTTTATGACATGTTCTGTTAATATTACCTACTTTAATACAGTGGGAAATGACCAAAAGTCATTTTTCCCATAATAGGATATGGAATTAACTCAAGAAAAATTAGAAATATATACTCTCTGATTTGAAATTATACTCCTAGTAAGCAACCAGTAACGCTATACTGCATCTGTGGGTTTGTCTTTTTTTTACTTAGAGAATTGGGAGTAGTTCAGATCCAGGAGGATAGGAAAGTCCTTGGGTCACAGAGGAGGGAAGATGGCTGGACGGGCGGCAAGACAGGTTCCCTTGATGTTTTCATGTTCGCAGAGTGACAGAATGAATGAATGGATAAAGATAATATTATATATATATATATATATATATATATATATATATATATATATATATAAATACATCAATATATATTATACACACACACAGGAATATTATCCAGTCACGAGAAGCAAGGAAACACCACTGTTTGCAACAACGTGGATGCACCTAGGGAAGATTTGTGCTGTGTGCTTAAGTCGCTCAGTCGTGTCTGCCTCTCTGTGACCCTATGGACTGTATGCCACAGGCTCCCTCTCCACGGGATTCCAGGCCAGAATACTGGAGTGGGCTGCCATGCCCACCTCCAGCGGATCTTCCCCAGCCAGGGATCGAACCCCGGGTCTCTGGCATTGCAGGCGGATCCTTTACTGTCTGAGCCACCAGGGAAGCCCAGGGAGGGTTATGCCCAGTGAGATAAATCAGACAGAAAACCCATACTTTACCACCTCACTTACATGTGGAACCTAAAAAAGCAACAAATGGAAACAGTAGAATGGTGGTTACCAGAAGGTGGGGGAAATCAGATATTGGGCAAAGAGTACAAATTTCCAGTTATAAGAGGAACAAGTTCTGGGGATCTAGTATACAGCATGGTGGCTATAGCAATAGTGCTGTATTGTACTCTGGAAAGCCGCTAAGTGAGATCTACAAGTTCTCACCATAAAAAAGCAATGGTGACGATGTACCTTAATGGAGGTGTTCATTTTGCAATATTCAAAGTGTGTCAAATCTACCCCTTGTACACCTTAAACTTCCACCATGTTATATGTCAATTCCACCTTAAGAAAGACTTCTCAGCCCCCAGCTCAGGACTGGGGTCCTGAAGGAAGGGGTCTGGCCCCCCAGCAGCCACAGCTCCACTGGCAGGGCCCAGTCAGGCCTTACAGGCTGGGGAAGGCTCAGTGCCAGGGTCCAGAGCTACAGTTCAGTTCAGTTCAGTTCAGTCACTCAGTTGTGTCCGACTCTTTGCGACCCCATGAATCGCAGCACACCAGGCCTCCCTGTCCATCACCAACTCCCAGAGTCTACCCAAACCCATGTCCATCGAGTCGGTGATGCCATTCAACCATCTCATCCTCTGTCGTCCCCATCTCCTCCTGCCCCCAATCCCTCCCAGCAATCGGGTCTTTTCTAATGAGTCAACTCTTCGCATCAGGTGGCCAAAGTATTGGAGTTTCAGCTTCAGTATCAGGCCTTCCGATGAACACCCAGGACTGATCTCCTTTAGGATGAACTGGTTGGATCTCCTTGCAGTCCAAGGGACTCTCAAGAGTCTTCTCCAACATCACAGTTCAAAAGCATTAATTTTTCAGTGCTCGGCTTTCTTCCTAGTCCAACTCTCACATCCATACATGACCACTGGAAAAACCATAGCCTTGACTAGACAGACCTTTGTTGGCAAAGTAATGTCTCTGCTTTTTAATATGTTGTCTAGGGCGGTCACAACTTTCCTTCCAAGGAGTAAGCGTCTTTTAATTTCATGGCTACAGTCACCATCTGCAGTGATTTTGGAGCCCCCAAAACATAAAGTCAGCCACTGCTTCCAATGTTTCCCCACCTATTTCCCATTAAGTGATGGAACTGGATGCCATGATCTTAGTTTTCTGAATGTTGAGCTTTAACCCAACTTTTTCACTCTCCTCTTTCACTTTCATCATCAAGAGCCTTTTTAGTTCCTCTTCACTTTCTGCCATAAGGGTGGTGTCATCTGCATATCTGAGGTTATTCATATTTCTCCTGGCAATCTTGATTCCAGCTTGTGCTTCTTCCAGCCCAGCGTTTCTCATGATGTACTCTGCATATGTTAAATAAGCACGGTGACAATATACAGCCTTGACGTACTCCTTTTCCTAATTGGAATCAGTCTGTTGGTCCATGTCCAGTTCTAACTGTTGCTTCCTGACCTGCATACAGGTTTCTCAAGAGGTGGGTCAGGTGGTCTGGTATTCTCATCTCTTTCAGAATTTTCCACAGTTTATTCTGATCCACACAGTCAAAGGCTTTGGCATAGTCAATAAAGCAGAAGTATATGTTTTTCTGGAACTCTCTTGCTTTTTTGATGATCCAGCAGGTGTTGGCAATTTGATCTCTGGTTCCTCTGCCTTTTCTAAAACCAGCTTGAACATCTGGAAGTTCACGGTTCACGTATTGCTGAGGCCTGGCTTGGAGAATTTTGAGCATTACTTTGCTAGCATATGAGATGAGTGCAATTATGCAGTAGTTTGAGCATTCTTTGTCATTGCCTTTCTTTGTGATTGGAATGAAAACTGACCTTTTCAAGTCCTGTGGCTACTGCTGAGTTTTCCAAAGTTGCTGGCATATTGCATGCAACACTTTCACAGCATCATCTTTCAGGATTTGAAATAGCTCAACTGGAATTCCATCACCTCCACTAGCTTTGTTCATAGTGATGCTTTCTATGGCCCACCTGACTTCACATTCCAGGATGTCTGACTCTAGGTGAGTGATCACATCATCTTGGTTATCTGGGTCGTGAAGATATGTTTTCTATAGTTCTTCTGTGTATTCTTGCCACCTCTTTTCTGCTTCTGTTAGGTCCATACCATTTCTGTCCTTTATTGAGCCCATCTTTGCATGAAATGTTCCCTTGGCATCTCTAATTTTCTTGAAGAGATGTCTAGTCTTTCCCATTCTGTTGTTTCCTCTATTTCTTTGCATTGATTGCTGAGGAAGGCTTTCTTATCTCTGCTTGCTATTCTTTGGAACTCTGCATTCAAATGGGAATATCTTTCCTTTTCTCCTTTGCTTTTCACTTCTCTTCTTTTCACAGCTATTTGTCAGGCCTCCTCAGACAACCAGTTTTCCTTTTTTCATTTCTTTTCCATGGGGATGGTCTTGATCCCTGTCTCCTATACAATGTCACGAACCTCCATCCATAGTTCATCAGGCACTCTGTCTATCAGATCTAGTCCCTTAAATCTATTTCTCACTTCTACTGTATAGTCATAAGGGATTTGATTTAGGTCATACCTGAAATGGTCTAGTGGTTTTCCCTACTTTCTTCAGTTTAAGTCTGAATTTGGCAATAAGGAGTTCATGATCTGAGCCACAGTCATCTCCCGGTCTTGTTTTTGCTGACTATATAGAGCTTCTCCATCTTTGGCTGCAAAGAATATAATCAGTCTGATTTCAGTGTTGACCATCTGGTGATGTCCATGTGTAGAGTCTTCTCTTGTGTTGTTGGAAGAGGGTGTTTGCTATGACCAGTGCATTCTCTTGGCAAAACTCTATATGCCTTTGCCCTGCTTCATTCCGTACTCCAAGGCCAAATTTGCTTGTTACTCCAGGTCTTTCTTGACTTCCTACTTTTGCATTCCAGTCCCCCATAATGAAAAGGACATCTGTTTTGGGTGTTAGTTCTAAAAGGTCTTATAGTTCTTCATAGAACCAGTCAACTTCAGCTTCTTCAGCATTACTGGTTGGGGCATAGGCTTGGATTACCATGATATTGAATGGTTTGCCTTGGAAATGAACAGAGATCATTCTGTCCTTTTTGAGACTGCATCCAAGTACTGCATTTCGGACTCTTTTGTTGACCATGATGGCTACTCCATTTCTTCTACAGGATTCTTGCCCACAGTAGTAGATATAATGGTCATCTGAGTTAAATTCACCCATTCCAGTCCATTTTAATTCACTGATTCCTCGAATGTTGACATTCACTCTTGCCATCTCCAGTTTGACCACTTTCAATTTGCCTTGATTCACAGACCTAACATTCCAGGTTCCTATGCAATATTGCTCTTTACAGCATCAGACCTTGCTTCTATCACCAGTCACATCCACAATTAGGTATTGTTTTTGCTTTGGCTCCATCCCTTCATTCTTTCTGGATTTATTTCTCCACTATCTCCAGTACCATATTGGGCACCTACCGACCTGGGGAGTTCTTCTTTCAGCGTCCTATCATTTTTGCCTTCTCATACTATGCGTGCGGTTCTCAAGGCAAGAACACTGAAGTGGTTTGCCATTCCCTTCTCCAGTGGACCACATTCTGTCAGGCCTGTCCACCATGACCCGTCCATCTTGGGTGGCCCCACACGGCATGGCTTAGTTTCATTGAGTTAGACAAGGCTGTGGTCCTGTGATCAGATTGGTTACTTTTCTGTGATTATGGTTTCTGCGTGCCTGCCCCTTGATGCCCTCTTGCAATACCTACTGTCTTACTTGGGTTTCTCTTACCTTGGACATGGGGTATCTCTTCTTGACTGCTCCAGCAAAGTGCAGCCACTGCTCCTTACCTTGGATGAGGAGTATCTCCTCTTGGCCCTCCAGAGCTACACACAGGTACTAATACCTGCCCCACCCAACTCCACACTTACACATGAGAGTCAGCGATGTTTGCCACCACTCTGGATTCTGTTACCGGCCCCGAGCCACTGACAATGTTTAAGATTCAACCATGACACAACTCCACTGGAATCTGTTTTGCACAAAAGGCATATTCCATGCAGCAGATACATCCTCCTTCTTCCCACAAGATGGATGACTTATCCACATTAGTTAGGCGGCTTCGCAGACATGCTCACGTTTATGAACCTTGCTCTGGCTGCAGGCCAGGGTGGGAATCAGGCTTCGACGTCACGGCCCTCTGTCTGTCTGTTGTAGCTGGTGAGCGACTTGTTGGAATTTTGCTTCTATACCTTCCGGGAGTCCCAGGCCCTGAAAGTGGAGTTCCCAGCGATGCTGGTGGAGATCATCAGTGACCAGCTGCCAAAGGTGGAGTCTGGGAATGCCAAGACCCTTTACTTTCACAGGAAGTGACGGGAGACGTCTCACAAGAAGAACTTTGCCTTAAGTTTCCCCGTGTTGTTCCACACCCACGAAGGACCCAAGAAAAATCCTATTTTTGACACACATGATGGTTTATTCCCACTTGTTCAGCAGTTTCTCAAGTTGAAAATCATGTCATGGGTTGGGAGGTGGGCAGGCAGGGTGACGTGGCTTTGGCGAGACCTGCACAGTCTGGAAGGTTCTTCCTTCTCCAGCCCCCAGCGCTTAGAAACATGTTCCTGTTCCTCTGGATGAAAAGCCATATCTAGTCAATAACTTTCTGATTTTGATATTTTAACAGATGGAAGTTTTAACTATGCCATGTAGTTTCTGGGATCGTTCGCTTGTGTTAAAAGGGTTCAAGGACTAACGAACTTTTTCAAGCTCACCCTTGGTTTGCACATAAAAACGTATAGTCAATATGGGGCATTAATATTCTTTTGTTATTTAAAAAACAACAAAAAAAGAAAAAATATATACAGATTCCTGTTGTGTAATAACGGAGCACGTGGAGTGGACTGGCAGCTCCCACAGGGGTGTGTCTTCACCCATGTCTTTCTGCATCACTGGTATCCACACCCTCTCCACTTATTATTTAATTAGAATGGATAAGATGTTCAGAAAAATGCCTTGGTTTCAATTTCTAGTATCTATTGTGTTGGCTTTACAGATAATTTTTGCAGTCTTTTGCTGTGCTGTACATTATTGTATGTATAAATTGTGAAGGACCTAAAATAAGGTATAAGGAACTTTTGTAAATGAGACACATACAAAAAAAAAAAACTTTAATGGTTAATAGGATGAATGGGAAAGTATTTTTGAAAGAATTCTATTTTGCTGGAGACTATTTAAGTACTATCTTTGTCTAAACCAACAAGGTAAAAAAAAAAATTTTTTTTTTTTGTAAAGTGAAATGTTCTGCATGCATCATGAACCGTTTACAGTGTATTTAAGAAAGGGAAAGCTGTGCCTTTTTTAGCTTCATATCTAATTTACCATTTTACAGTCTCTGTTGTAAATAACCACACTTAAACCTCTTCGGTTGTCTCTAAGCCTTTCTACTTCTGTACTTTCGTTTCGTCCTTGGTCTCCCGCTTGGGGTGTTCGTGGGACTTGAGTGCATTTTCCAGCTTCGGCTCCATCCTCCTTCCAGTGGGGACGGCGCAGCATGGTGTCTGCAGCTCCCTGAAGGCGTCCTTCGACGACACCCCTGTGAGAGGATGTCCCAGGAGTGCTGCAGCTTTAGGAAAGCTGCCTCTTTCCCCTCAAGAAGCGGAATCCACTTTAGGAGAGAGACTGGAAAGGCTGTGGCTCAGAGTGAGCATCCTCATCCCATTTTAGAAATTGAATTTCCTCCTTTCAGTGGGGGCGGGGAAAAATTCCATGCACTCTCTATGTCTGCAAAAGGTGAAATGTTCACTTCCGGTCCCGGAAGGGGGTGTTGCAGTCCTGGAACTGGTCACAGGAAGACGTAGGTCATGGCAGGGGGCCCTTGGAAGATGCCCCTGGGCACAGCTCAGTCAGAGCAGCGTGGAGACCGCACGACAATTAGAGGGTTTTTAGATTTTTAAAAGGTAGGTTTTAAAAATAAAATTTTATATGTAAACGGTTTTGGGAAAAAAAAAACACTACAGATCATAAAAGCAAGACAGTGGCACTAAAATTTTTAATTCACTAATCTGTTTGGCACTGATGCAATTTATGGCTTTTTCTCTTGCCCCAAATCACAAACATATATATATATATATATATGTTATATATATATATCTTTGGGGAAACTTAATATGATTGCACTAAATAAACTACTTTGAGTAGAGGCCAAATTAATCTTGGAAAAGTGATGATAATCATCAGGTACTCAGTGAAATCTTATTCTTTTCCAAAACCTAAAAGCTAGAGCTGGGGAACCCCAAGGCCGGGAGATGGCAGCGCTGGGATCAACCCTTTTCTCCAGGGTTCACCATGCAGGCAACATTACCCTGTCTCTCAGAAGACACCTGCCTTATGCAAGGGGAAACCTGTGAAAGCTGCACTCAGACAGAGGAGTTTTTTCTTACATAATTTGCAATTTCAGGAATTTAATTTATAGGCAGATCTTTCAATACAGTCAACTTACATGCACAGCAATATGAAAGCCACACTTGGAAGGTGATAAATACACCGCATGCAGACTGGGGGTTTCTGGGAAAGAAATGGCTTCATAAGAGCAGCTTTTAGCTCAGACTGACTTTTTATGAAATCAGAATTTCGACGTAACCGGGTTTGGGATGGAGACAGTCTGCATCAGCTTTTTGTATTAACAAAGTTACTGACTGTGTGTGTGTCTCCGGGTAACTTTGCTTGAGTAAACAGCAAAGCCATATTCTAAATCCACTGTTGAATGCCTGTCCCAGTCCAAATGTCTGTCTGCTCTTCTTTTTGTACCATATTGCTCTTGGTTTGGTACAATTCATAATTCACCAAAACTTCTTCATATAATTAAAAAAAAACACTAAATTAGTTTAAAATGAAGCAATTTATATCTTTATGCAAAAACATATGTCTGTCTTTGCAAAGGACTGTAAGCAGATTACAATAAATCCTTTACTTTAATCACCTGTTGTTTTGGAAACAGTTCATTTGAACGTCTATAGGAACACGTGGATTTTGTGGCCTTTTAAATCTGGATCGTATGCCCCTCTGCCTACATCCAAGATGGAATCACCCAGCTCACCCCCAACCCATGTTAGGAAGTCCTGCATTATCCACATATTAATTACTCTTTTGGGGGACTGGTTAAATGTTTTGTTTCTTAGTGCTAATATTTGGTTCACTGAAATATACCCCATGACCATCTTATAACAATAATTACTGCTGATGTAGCCACTAAATTCGATACATACATGGCCTCCTTTATCTTCACAACCACATGGAAGCTTGTTTTCTTTACAGACTTGGAGACTCACCTGAGTAGACCAGATGCCCCATCTCATTCCCAGGTCCTCCTGCACACACTGGAGTCTTATCCTCACCCCAGATCCTCTTGGGCTATCAAGAGACTCCCTTCACCATCAGTTATGATGCTCCTCACATTCCTTACAGGCTGCTCTTTTGGACCTCACTCAGCAATACAGACTACAAAAGAGCAGTCAGGAATCATCAGCTCATCTGAAAACTAGAAAACATGTATTTCCCACAAGAGAAATTCATGTACATTTTTAATGTGTCATTTAAGTGATGATCAGTCAAACTAGAAGACTGAGGGTTAAACACAACTTTGCTTTAATACAACTGATCTATTTCTGAAACACAACATTAGCCATGAAACACAGCACAGGAAAAAACTTTTGAGCTTTGTGCACAGATTTGTTTGTAAAAATTTATTGAAAACGAAGGTAATTTTATATCTTAGAATGTATGCAGTCTGACCTATGAGGGAACAGGGTTTCTCACAGAGAGCCTCTAACTTTAAACAAAAGCCATCATGGTCTGTGAGTCTGTGTGGCTAGATATGGGGGCCCCTTGGATATGCACCCTTGCTTAAAGTGAGTGCTCTTTCTTCATAGAGCAGGTTTGTTCCTGGGTCAATGAGCCAGAAACCTTCCTGTATTTCTAGGAAGGTCTTAAAGTGCTCTCAGACCCAAAGAATCCACCTGCACTTTTAGGAAATCATTAGCTAAGAACTACGTTTCTGCCGCTAAGTGAGCCAGCCAGCCACTGTAGGCCAAAGCAGTAAAAATTATGCATAGTGATGCATATATAGTTAGGGGTTTGTTATGAATGTCCCTCAAGCAAATAGAAAACATTGTTCCCTTAAAGTCAGCTCCACATGTGTGTTAGTCTCTCAGTCATGTCTGGACTCTGTGCGACCCCACGGACTGCAGCCCACCAGGCTCCCCATCCACGGGATTTTCCAGGCAAGAATACTGGAATGGGGTGCCATTTCCTTCTCCTGGGAAGCTCCACATACTTTTGGATAAACTGCAAACGTCCACAGACTAAAATGACTTGATTACAATTATCTCCAGCGCCTTCATTTCAAATCATCCAATTGCTGATGCAGCAGTTTTCTTGGAAATAAAGCAGTGGCTTCCCAAACAATGTTGGATAAGAGAAGAGTAAAATAGGATTTTAACATTCAGGACAGACCAAACCTGTTGTCAGTTGCTAAGTCGTGTCCGACTCATTGCAACCCCATGGACTGTAGCACTCCAGGTTTCCCTGTCCTTCGCTACCTTCCGAAGTTTGCTCAAACTCATGTCCATTGAGTTAGTGATGCCATCCAACCATCTCATCCTCTGTCACCCGCTTCTCGTCTTGCCCTCAGTCGTTCCCAGCATTAGGATCTTTTCCAGTAAGTTGACTCTTTGCATCAGGTGGCCAAAGTATTGGAGCTTCACCTTCAGCATCACTCCTTCCAATGAACATTCAGGACTGATTTCCTTTAGGAATGACTGGTTTGATCTCTTGCTGTCCAAGGGACTCTCAGACCAAACCTGAATCCAAAGCAAAGTGAGTGAAGGAGCAGAGTAGCAGTTTGCTACAAACCACCCCAACACTGAGTGGTTTAAAGCAACCATCATTTGTTATTCTCCTAAGTTAGCTAGCAGGGGAAGTCCTGCTGGTCTGGGCCAGGCTGGGCTTGGGCTGGTCATGTAGCCAACTGGTCTGAGCTAGTTTTGCTCCATGTGGCCTCTCCTCTAGCAGGCTAGTCTGGGCATATTTTCATGGTATAAGCAAGGCTCTCAGACAGTGGAAGTGTATAGCACTTTTCAAGCTTCTAATTGCATCAAGTTTGCCTTTGTTTCATTGGCCAGAGCAAGTTACAAAGTCAATCCCATAGTTGGCATGGGAGGGTTACCCATAAGGGCATGCATCCAGTGAGGGGTGAAATTTGGAATAATTCAACCAATGTACGATGCACAATTTAGGTATTTTTTCATAGAATTTATGTTGCCAAGACAGTGATTTTCAAGTTTTCCATGGCCTGAAAAACCCATTTCTTTGGATCT